GAGTCTCTGCTTTATGCAATGGCATTCAGGAGCTGCGTGCTTTTTGTGACGGTGCTTAGCCTGCTGGATAGAGGTAAGTGCTGTGTAGTCAACAAGCAGCATCTGCGCTTCAGTGCTGTGTGATTCTTACATAATAAATATTTCAAACGCAGGAAAAAAACATTAAAAATTAATGTAAATTACATAAGAATGGAAATCTTTTCAAATGTGCTTTACACTTACTTATTATGTTTAAAGTACCTTATCATGGACTTGTCAAGCTTTTCTGTGTAGGTTAATGAACAATTAGTAATACTTTAAAAATAACTTTTATCATATAATTAAGTTTACAAGATGTTTGCTAATTGGCAATGATATCAGTAGCTTTAACAGAACTGTTGTATATATAATACATTTAGAATGGTTTATGGTAAAATTAAAAATAATACCGGTGATGTACTCACGACACTTGTTAAAGGAGCTAATCACAAAAAAAAATAATAAATAAAAATAGAAAACAGGTAAAATCTTGAAATTGCTGTAGTTTGAAATAAAATGCTTAAATAATTGCAGAAAGAACCAACAAACTCACACAATTCTATGTAACCTCAGCATTTTACTGCAGGCTTGACTTTCTGGACGTATGCGGAACGCTGACTTTGCCGAGCAAAGAGCATTTCAGTCTGTGGCACTCTGTCCTACCACACTTCCCTGTCTAAGAATGATCATTTAACCCAGGCGGTCATGCAAAATAGATACAATCTATATGATCTATACGGTCACTATGCCATGACTTGCTTTGCAGTCAGTAATGCATTTTTTTTAAAAAGCACTTCCTCGTTCAGGCAACTACCAGATCAACCTGAAGTACAGGAAATATCTGTGTCAGTAGGTAAATTTGCCTGAGGGCTAATTGTACAAGAAAGATACGTACCAGAGCATCATAAATATAGGAAAGAAATTCAGAATGGAAGGTTTTTAGCGGCAGGCGTTTATGGCAGCTGTTCTAGAGGCACCCAGTGTCCCAGCATCCATCTCAGGGCTGCTGCAAACCAGCCACCCAGGATTCTCAACTAAAACGCCGCATAGCTGAGCCCATGAGGACACCATGATTACAATGAAAATAAGGGCCTTAATTACCCAGCTGCAAACATGTGGGGTTTAGGTTACAAAGACAAATGTGAGTGTTTTGCGTGCTCTACCTTCACTGCCTTTCATGCTGTTGAAGCTGGTATATTGAGTAAAGCCTGTAGTACCAAGAGCCACATGTCACTGCTGATTTTGTATGGAAACATCTGAGATTAACTAGATGAATGGCTGGGATTGTGATGATGGAGAGTTTGGGAAAGTTACTTTTGCTGGTATTCATTTGTTTGAACTGTATTCATATGTGAAAGATTCCAACTACTTAAAAGGTGTCACATTGAGATTAACCAGGGTTCGAGTCTCTGCCATGGCTCTATGTGCATGGAGTTGGTTCTCCCTGTATTGGCGTGGGGTTTCCTCTGGGTACTCTGGTTTCCCCCCACAGACCAAAACATGCTGAGGTTAATTGGAGTGTATTTCTGTAGGTGTGTATTTCTGAAGTGAATGGTGTGTGAGTGTGCCCTGCGATGGGTTGGTGCCCCATGCTGGGTTGTTCCCTGCTTTGTGCCTGTATCTTCTGGAATGAACTCCAGACCCCCTGCGACCCTGAATAAGACAAGTGGGTAAATAAAAAGGATGAATGGATGGACATTGACATTAGCCATGTAAAACAAAGAAATAATCTTCATGAATGCATTTTCGATCACTTTATATTAATTAACCAAAGCTGTTCTCTCCCATTTTTTTAGAGTCAGATGCACAATTGAATGGTAAGTTTGTTAGTATCGTGGCTTTATTCCTTCTCTTAAAATATGTGACCTAGTGCTTAAAGAAATGAACTGACCAATATCCAAAACTAGA